AATACTTATGAAAAAGGCAGTAACAACAACAATTATCTCATCACGACCGCAACTCATATATCAATCCTTGTCAGCAATTCTGTATATTCTCGTCACAATTTATTGCTCATATCTATCTGTTTTCTTTGCAATTGTACACTATTCTACCTACCCTAGACTATCTTTCGTCATTGCTTAGCAACCGCTGGTGTGTGAGTGTGTTTGCAAAGCAATATTATCTCAATATCACCTGACTGCAATACTCATATCACTTTTTTCCGAGAGTGGATCAAATCTTACAGGGTTGCACCTATCCTGCGTCTCATTTGAAATACGAGCTCACATCGGCTACGGTACTTATAAATTATAAGTATTATAAGGAGACAACTAGAAGTCCGGAACGTATCTAATCAATGTCAACCCATACTCTCGACTATGGAGATGCACCCGCGCAGCACCGCACTCTTCACTCGCTCCAATACAGTCTTCATTGATCCCAGTCTGGCGAAATCGTTCTTCTCCGGAATCATCATTTCGCAGTACCTAAATATAGCATTGCTGACTGTCTTAGTCTATCACGCTCGTTCGTACTATAATTTCTTGTTTTGCATGAATCTTCCACCAGAACTAACATGCATAACATTTCAAGTCATAACGACGGATAAACAAGTATACTGCCTTGGTAATTATTTATTCAAGTACGCGCTGACTTGCGTCTCTACAGATAAAATACTTCTGGGTGAGTTCAAAACTCTCTTGTACATGCTAACAGCGCATTGATCCGAGTCAAAACAAAGTCCAAGCCATGTAACTCTATAAGTCTGACTTATTTTGCGGTAAGTACTAGTCTTATCGAATTATAGTATCTAGACGCGCTCTGACTTCGGTTTTCAGAATCTTTGTGTTGGACTCCTCGGAATCATCTGTTTTATAATTGGTAAAACACACACAAATATTCCACTGATTCTGTGGAAGCGACTGACGCGGGCAAATCGCTATAGCTTATACCCCCAAACAAACTCTTTCGAGGTAAAAGATAAACAATGCAATCGATGGTGCATGCTGACATCGAATTCGATCTACATGTATTTCAGCTGTACGTTATTCTTCCGGTCGTTCGTACTTTCTATCAACTAAAAAATCCAGGCCGCGCACTATACTGGATCGGCGACTTATGCTGTGAGTACTCTATTACGATTCATTATGCCTCCAATTTAACCCAAGCACCAGACCCGATCACAGTCATCCTTATAGACTGTGAGTGAGAATATTTTTCTAGTGCCCAAAGGAGATGTTGTATTATTCTATACTCAACTGTTTTGCAGGTATTCTCCAAATCCGCGTATTGGCACTTTACGAGCAAAGTAGGTATACTAATTTACTAGTAATAATTTCTCATCTGATTTTTTTTGCAGATAGACACCTTTCAATATGCCTGAAAGGACTTCTCGTTTTAGAGACAAGTATTGCTCTCGGTTTTACTATCTACGATAATTTTTTTGAAGACTGTAAGTCTTTCCATCGACTTCCCTTATTTTACCTTGATTTAAAGGTACACTAAAATATAATACACTTCAGTTATTGTCGTACACATCGCACAAGGCATCCAAATCTGTGGAAAGAACAGGCCTCCCTCCAGTTTGGCATTAAGCATTGTATGGTAGGCTTTATTCCTACACCATCACAATGACATATTGTTCCTTCTGATATTAATGATACGTAGGGGTGGCTTTCTAATCTATGGAATGATCCTACTTTGCCTTGCCCTCTTCAAGGCAGCGGAGTACTGGAGAATATCATCCAATTTTAAAGGCTTCCATCTCGTCAGAGTCCTCGTTGAAGACCAAGTTATATATTACGGCTTGTAAGTAGTTGAGAAGTTTCAGGCTTGCATGATTATTTGATTATTTGACTCACGCCCTTGCAGTGTGATATTCTGCTGCATACTACGAATCACCGCCAACCAAACTAAGAATGTCAACTCTATCGTTGTATACATCCTAGACTCAATAGAAAACCCAACTCTTCTATGTATCCTCGGAAATCGCCTTTTAATTAACTTAAAAGAGGCAGGCGAATTCGGACAAAACGAAGGAACCAACTACTGGTTGAGGACCGCTGGTACTAGTGACATCGAATTTGCCGAAGGTACTTTTGTATTTCCACTCACGTCGCTCTGTCCAAAACACGCTGATTTGCTTCAGGGAGTCCTGCAGCGGTGGGCCCAAATGAGGAGGGCACGTCCAGTGTTTGACGATATTGCAGTGTTAATGTGTCATTTTCATGCGCTACAATATACAATGTCTGTCAAATCGAAAGAGTAAAAATTTCAGCTATAAAAGAGAAAAGAGATTGAAAGTTGAAAACGAATAGCGAAGAACCAGCATCTATACATTACACATCAAGCACCCTCTTCCCCCACTGCCACACCGCAAAACTAGTCGCAGTCATCGGGACAACCTTCGCAAGTCCAATCCCCAAACCCACATAAAACCCTCTCCAACCTCTCGTACTCCACACCCTCTTCACAGTCTCGCTGAACGTCAACCACGCACGCGGGTCCGGGTTCGTCAGACCACCGACTTGCATTCGTCGTCTTACAATTTCAAAGGGGTAGGAAACTGTTTGCGCTGCGGACCCTGCGAGTGCACCGAAGGTGAGGTCTGCTAGAGGGGTTGCTTTTGGTTTTGGTCTTTCGGGAGTGGGAGGAGGGAGGAAGAGAGCGCGTAGATACCCCCATGTAAGGAACGACGTCCCTGCGTACGGAACCATACCCAACATCGTCACCGTAAACCCTCTGTAAAACGAAAGTATCGGAAAGCGGTAAAACAAATGCGTGCGCAGCGCTCTTGCGGGTGATGCTGAAGGCGTGCGAACTTCGGAAGCGAGTGAAGTGGAAGGTTTGAAGCGCGTGGTCTCGTGGTAGATATCTGAGATGGCTGTGCGCAGCGTTGGACGGGTTGAACGCGAGCCAGTTGACTTGTGTCCGTCTTCATGTGAACGGGTAACGTATGCAAGGCGGACACGGGTAAGCTCTAAAGGGTATGTGCAGCAGACTGATAACGTTCCTACAGACGTGTTACGTTTTAGTCATGTTCCGAACGGATCCTACGCAGTCAGGAACCATACCAGAAAGTGATCCCGCAACAAAGCGCCTTAAATTTGTCTCACTTTCTCTCGTAGGCATGAGTGCCTGCAATCAAGACATGAATATATCCGATCCGTTGTACAAATACACAAGTATAAAAGCATACGCACGAGATGAATCTGGTCATAAAACATATACTTTATCGCAGCATACGGAAATATTCGCAACAGCGTCGCCGAATGACCCTGGAACAGTCCCCATACACCCGTAGACTTGTAAATCTCCGCTCCAGCGCGGTATGCACCGCTCCATGTACCTATTCATGCAAATTGTCGTGTCCGTTAGTCATCGGATATTGTAGCACGCGACAACGTACAGAACAAGCAACGTACCTGCATACTTCTGAAAGTCCGGGTTCGACGTTTGGAAGAGTATCTTAACTCTATCGAGAGGTGCGACGACCGTTTTTGCCTGTACCACGCAAAAGTCAGTCACGTTCACCGAGAGATTATTCTTAGTTTCATATCTCGTAGATAAAGCGGAGAATTTCACAACTCACGACGCATCCTGCGAATCCACCAGCAATTCCTGAGCGAATTATATACCTTAAGCCCTGTTGTTCTTCTTTTACATAAACATTTGAAGTCATTCGAGTTTGCTAGCACATAAAGTGAAAGAGCTTAAGAACAGAAAAGGACGAAGAAGGAGGGAGAGCCAGAGAGTGAGAAATGACGTCCTCTGGCTCAGATAGGCGTCGATCTGGTGCCGATCCGGTCACGTGTAGTTATCTTATTTCTGATTACTAATACAATTTTGGATCTGCGCGACTTACCCGTTTGGGACTCACAACTTTCAGTAACGAACGACGATGAGCTCAACCACAAGTGCAACAGAGACAAAAGAGGTTGCCCCCGTCGGGCCCATAAAGCCTCTCACGATGATGAAGGCGCCTAAAAAACTCAAGCCTGCGAGGAAGCAGGTCAAACCTGGACAGGTGGAGAAGAAGGAGGCCGTCCAGACCGGGAAGGAGTACAGTGCGTATCACCACATTTTGGCGTTTATATCGGCTTCGCTAATCGTAACCATAATGAATAGATATATGGTACAACAAATGGGCTGGTGGAGATAGAGAAGACAGCTATTCAAAGTACGTCTATCCCACTCAATTCTTAACTATACCTTACACTAACACCTACCAAAAGCAAAGTAAAATCCCAAACCCGCTGCAACATCAAACGCGACCAAGGCCTCACACGCGCAAACACAACCGGCATGCGCTACTGCTGTCTCTTCTTCGCTCGCGGGTGTTGTCCATACGGCTGGGAATGCGAATACCTACACATGTTACCTGACGAGACTTGGGCTCTACCCGATACCTCTAAAGACTGCTTCGCGCGTGACAAGTTCGTTGATTATCGAGATGATATGGGTGGTGTTGGGAGTTTCTCGAGACAAAATCGGACTTTGTATATTGGAAGGATTAAAGAGACTGGTCCGGGTCCTGAGACGGAGGAGATTGTGATTAGACATTTTAAGGAGTGGGGTGCTATTGAGAAGAGTACGTGGCTTTCATCATTTTATTTCCTGTTATTTTCCCCAAGCTGACATAGAAGTAAACGTAACTTAGTCCGAGTCCTCCAATACCGAAGCGTAGCCTTCGTAACCTACGTCTCCGAGCTCAACGCTCAATTCGCAAAAGAAGCAATGGCTTGCCAATCAATGGACAACGACGAGATTCTCAACGTCCGCTGGGCAACAGAAGACCCCAACCCAACTTCAAAAGTACAAGAACAATGGCGAATTCTCGATATGGGGAAAAGAGCTATTCAGGAACGTATGGACCCAAAGATGATTGATGCTATGCGTTCTGTACGAGCGTTGGAGGAAGGTGTGGAGTTGAAAGATGATGAGGATGATGAAGTGGATGGAAATGGAGATGGAGATGTGGAAGCCGAACAGAGAAGAGAACTTGAAGCACTTGCAGCGAGTGACGAAACCGACGATTCAGAGCGAGAAGGTCAACCAAACGCAAAACGCCGACGTCTAGACGACAGCACGTCTGATACTCAACCCAAGGGACTCCTCACGTCAGACACAATAGAGGGCCTAAAATACTTCGCCGAGATACGAAAGCGTCACGAAAACTTAAGTGTAGTGAAGCAGGCTGCACCACCTAAACCTTTGACTGCGAGTCTTGCGTTGGATTACGGGAGTGATGATGATTAGATTACTTTGTACATTATTATTCGTTGCTGTCATTCTAATGGGCGATGCAACGGCTATTTCTTAATAAACTGTTCCACACTGGAGCGAAAGCATAGTCATGCATGCTGCTTCATGACTTATAAGTTATACATACTGCTGTTCAGTGATCTATCCTTTTGCTTATAATACACTCCAAGAGAAAACCTATCGAAAACAAAGAAACATAGTCATACAATCCCCGCCCGTCCCATACGCTGAATCGTAGCAAAGTCCGGCCTGGCACCCTTATCCATAAAGTACTGCACAATATCCCTCGCGTCCACTTCAACAGCCAGCCTCAACATCGCAGTCGTAACCTGCACTCTATCCTCCACGCGTCTCCTCTTCGCACTCTTCCTCTTCTGTGAATCCTTCACCTCTCCTACCCCACTCCTACCCTCATTCCCATTCCTTTCGTCCCTCGTGCATTCTATACTATTCTCGCATTGGAATGCATCGGTACAACTATTAGTATGCCAAGACGACGCGACGACCTCCTCCTCAGCCTCCCCCTCCACCAAACACCTCACCAACCCCAAATCCCTCTTCTTGACCGCAATCCTCACAGCAAGCGCATCCTTCAACCCAGGGTTCGCACCTCCCACCCCCAACAAAAACTTCACCAACTCCGTATGCCCCGCATGTACAGCTCGCGAAAGGGCATACCCCTCATGCGCGTTAGCGTCAGGTAACCGAATCCTCAAACGAGTCTTTTCTCCCTGCTCCAAACTATCCGAATCGAAATTCGCGATCGATCCAGCCTTCGCGTAAAGGTGTCTCAAAAACGGTAACGGCTGATCAAATCGCGTATACCTCCCAGGACCTCTCATCGGCACAAGCCCTCTAAACAACCTCTTCGGTAACGGTAACGCCAGCCACCTCGAACCCATCCAATTCCAATTCCATACATCCAACTTCAATCTGACACACTCACTCTCCACCAAACTCAATAACCTATCCAACACCTCCTCCTCATCGCACAGCGCATACAACAACGCATGCCCCACCATGTCATTAATACTACGCGTAGAGAGGTTTGGTAATGTCAAATCGCGGCAACGCAGGTAGAGATACTCTGCGCGGTACGAGGCGGTAGTCGACTTGAAGATGCCATGAAAGCGTTTATTGATGGTCGGAAGAGACTCGTTCAGTGCTAAGAGGTGTATCTCATATATGAGCTGTATAGGAACATCGGTCTATAGGCTATACAAGAGAGAGAGGAGTAAGACATACCTCTACAGGGAGTCGTTCTAACAGGGATGGTGTGCGCATGTAGGAAGGGAACATGCACACGCACACGCACGGCCAAGAGAAATTATTGCATCTCGTCGATCCTACGGAGTTTGAAACTTGCATGGCTGGCTTCGGCTTTCTACATAAAACCCGAGCAATTTTTATCACTTGTTCCAATATTAAAGAAAACTACGCTGAATACACCAAGTAAAATGTCACATATGACTACTTTTGAGAACCCGTTAAACAAAACGTGGCATAGAATATTTTTGAGAAATTGCATGAAAAGAGTGGCTAGCTAGTTCGTCTTAAAGAAAGTGTTAGAGGATTATCGGCATGGAAAAGCATACAACAGCTGGAAAGCATGATCGACCAGCGATGAGTAACGAACGTTGATCATAACGAGTTGAACAGCGAGTTGGCGAAGAAGGGCATCCATACAACAAGAACAAGAAAAACAAGAAACAAGGAATCACGACGAAACCCCAAAAGGCAGTGAGATGCGGCGATGCAAGGCATGGCAAATTAATGAATATCGACCTCGACAGGCGATAAGACGGACGATCTCGGGTCAAAGCGAATTCGCCGTGTCACTGGGGGCTCTGCAGCCATTAGGGCGTCAAACCGAGCACAGCTCTCCGTATCGGCACGCCGAACCGAACTGCGGGGAACTACGAATTCAAAGGGCCCAGCATTATCGAAATGGCTGTGATGAGGAGGTTCGCGGATGCAATAACCGGTCAGCCTTGATGCGGTCTGTAGAGAAAGAGTAAAATGAAAGCAGACCCACCCAATGCAAAGAAAGCGTCTAAAGAAAGATAGGGGCCCTCTCAGCAGTGAACCCTTCTTTCTGCCTGCCTGCGGCTTCTCTTCAGACGGGCACAGCTAATTATGAGCAATAATATGTTATGACAGTGTCATATGTGGATCCAATATATATTATGCAACTCACCGTGCGTTTCGGCCCAGCCAACGAGGAAGACAGGCGACTCGATGGTGGACGACCAACGCCCTGCAATAAGATAAATCTCAGTCATGCCGTATTAAATAACGTAAAATAAAAGGCCTTACGGTTGCCTCGCTCTCACAGAAAGTGGAGCCTCCAAGAGAATGCCTCCTAGTCTCGGCAACGGAATTACGCAAATATGTCCTAGTCTGGACCGTCTCCGACCCGTGCGAGGTTTCGAGGTCGTACAGATTTGTGGAGGTCCTGTTTTTACGTTCGTCACGTCTGCGGTCATAGGGCACATTATCTCCGCGAAATCGAGGCCTTCGAGACCTAGCAGCATTAGCGGCATCACGGAGAACATCAGCTTGCTCAAGGAGGTCATCTGCGGGGCGTGTACTCGTGCTGGTACTCCTCCGCTCCAAGGGAGGTCGTGAACTCTCGGGCTCCCTAGGCGGAAGCGCAGGCAGTGGTTTTACGATATCTCGGACATCCTCAGTGTCCGTTGTGTCGACAACGTCTGAGTCAGTCATATCGAAGCTGACCTCGTCGGTCAGTACGCTGCCCGACTCATCCGAGTAGATAGTGGAAAGTGAGGTCGGAGGAGGATTGAGAAGACTCCGAAAGGCGCGCATAGCCGTGAAATTAGCAGCACAGCAAGAGGTACTAATAAGAGAAGCCAGTTGACTGAGGCAGTGGTACAAGTCTTGACCGGAAAGACAAGCACAGTAGAAAGGGGGGAAGGATAAGAAAGAAAGTTGTACTGAATAAGTAGGTTGATGGGTGTTCGCCCGCGGCCTGTGGTATTTCTACTAGTTTGAAGCAAGGGGCTCATATTTGATGCAAGCCATAACCACATAGATCACACGTGTACTAGTTTACAATAGATACCTAAGCGCCGTGCCACCGAGAGCGAGAAAATTACATGTTCCAGAGGGATTCGGCAGAAGACGTCTTCAAGGCTGTTCAGCAGTAGCCAATTAGTCTCCAGATGAGCAAGGGCACGATATTCTATGAATTCCACGATAAATAATAGGGGGAAAGCAGTGCCAGGCGGTTTCCTTTGTGAGATATATCATCGAAGTTGGAAAACAAGAGATCCAGGCCGCACGGGAGCAGTGAGGCGTGATCGTGACACCCCGTTCCTCGTCACATAAAGTGTTACTTCGGGTTTCTCATTTACTGTCCCCGCATCACGTGCTCTAATGCTTTCTCTCTCAAAACCGATATTTTCGCGTGCAGCGAGTGCATTCGCTTGCAGAACACGAGCCATCGCGCTCTCAGGGAAAGCTCTGCCAGTCTATTGTACAAGGAGACATGCTAGTGCGAGACCAGCATACGAAGGCCACACGCCGCTGAACTGGTTTGAGAACGCCTTCCTCGCGGTGGGCTCAGGCATCGTTCTGCTCACCGATCCAGCTAGGGCAGGTACGCCAACATTCCTTATTCTTCAATCTCTCCTATTCAGGCTAATGTCGTGATTCGAATCTACAGATATGGTCGCTGCTCTTGGAGAAACCACCGCAGGTCCGTCGCTTCCATGCCTTCGAGAACACATGCTTGAAAGCGCCGAGGGCAGACGCATCCTCAAGGCGCGGCCGCGCATCAACACGCGTACCGTTGATATGGCATCTCTAGCTGCGTTGCCAGAGAATACACTCGGACGCACCTATGTCTCCTGGCTGGAGCGGTGCAACGTTACTCCCGACTCTCGCGAACCCGTATGTTTCTCTTCTCTTCATTCACTTCCGCGTCTAAGTAGCCTCTGACATGCGTTCGTAGGTACACTACATCGACGATCCCGAACTCGCGTACGTAATGCAACGTTATCGTGAATGCCACGACTTGTACCACGCTGCTATCGGACTGCCTGTTGATGGGCTCTCCGAGCTTGCCGTCAAGGCGTTTGAATTCGCTAACCTCGGACTTCCGATGGCAGCGCTCTCCGCTACTCTCGGACCACTTCGTCTTTCAAGCGCTCGGAAAGAAAGATACTTCAAGGAGTATCTGCCATGGGCACTTCGCTGCGGAGGGAGTGCGAGAAGCATGATTACCGTATATTGGGAAGAACGATGGACCCAAGATATCGGCGAATTAAGACGAGAGTTGGGCTTGACAGAGCCTCCGCCGACGGTTTGGAAGAAGCCTCGGAAGCCTCTCGACAGCCAGACTCAACCGCACACTGGAGAAATTCCAGTACAGTGATTTCCATTCTTGCCGTTAATTATGTCGTAAAATACACATGCCGCTCCTCTCAATGAACTTCGGGTGTTCTGGTGTTCTAACGAGCAATACGAAAGAGTACTAGAAGGTCTCCAGCAATTTTAATTTTCGGCTTATGTACAAATGCTCTAATGCTCGACTAGTAACTTGTCCACTGGAGGATCCTTGACATAAGACGTCTCTTCCACAGTCAAGGGTGAGAAAGCTGTGCACGGTGATATGGAATCCTGGCAAGCAGAAGCAATAACATGATGCAACGAAGAACAGCGATCCATCTTGCAAAGCGAAGGATGGGCAGATGAAGGGGGCTTCTGAATTAAGGCGATTTAATGTTTATTTGCGCGAAGGTTGGACTACTGATCCCTTTGGCCTGTAGTGCTTGCGTCTGAAATCAATCATAGAAGTAGTAGGGGTATTTGGTCAGAAAGCCTTCCTTGCCTCAGGTCCTGAGATCTTACTTCAAGGTTTCGTCGGTGGAATGAGCAACCGTGAATTCGAGGTCAAAGGGCCAATTGAAATGTGTTGGATCGAGGCAATCAGACAGCTGTTTTACATAAAAATGGGATATTGATTCAACATCTGTTATCTCTTTTGCACTCCTTATATTCTTGTGCGTTGTCTGGCTTAAGTACTTCCCAAATCATTGTATTTTGGAATTGGTTAATAAAGAATTTTAATATTGAAAAAAGGAGCTGTAATTGCACAAATACCCCCACTGTAATAATATAGTAAAGCTTCCGGTTCGGGTTTCTCCTGTGTTCCTATCTTAAAACATCTTAAACTATTACATACAGAACAACCCAAAATACCCTAATGTGTATTCTGAACCATTGAGTTCAACCCTATCTTCAACCACTGCCATATTACAGTATTTGCCAAATTGCCACATTCAGTAAGTATAATTTAATCTTGCCATTTTCAAAGGTCTGGTGCACTTTTCCATCTTCACTTTTTACAACACAAATAAACTTTTCAAACCTTGTACTAGTATAAGATTGAATTTCTCAGTAGTCAGTACTTTCTGAAAGTTTCTGTAGTTTCTGAGTCCCAAAATTAATGGAAGACTGTTCAGTAGTTTTTAACATACTTACTGTGATTGATTTTATGATCACAAGGCACTGTGTAATTAGACTAATTTGTAATGGTTCTCACTGGCAGCTTGTATGCAACTCAAAATGTTACTGATTTTTCAGTAAAGAAAGGAATTACGTAATACTCTTCCAGACTTTGAGACTCGAAATCCATTATCCTATTGCCATTTGCCTCAGCATCAAATCAACGGCACAACATCAGTATATTCATAACATCATGATGGCCGTGGTAGTAAAGAGTTCTCGCCCTTTGCCCTCAACCCTAACGTTGCGCACAAGACTCGAGCGAAGGTGCCATCGTCTAGTGCAAACATTGTCCACTTAGACTCCACTACATTGACTCGTTTCGTGTGACCTGGTTATTTGCCCATTTCCTCCAAGTGAGACTCCTCATCTCATACATTATTGTACGATCAAGTGATGAAAAAGAATATTTTAGATTTGTGAAGAATCCCTGTAAGACAACTCTAGGGACAAGCAGGAATCAAGGTCAAAAGGTGCGTTTCAAGTAATGCTTCTCTTGTAGCCTGCTTTCTTCTCAATTCTCACTGATCACACAGCTCGTCCAAAGATAATTGAGAGTAACCTCCAGGATTTCTGTCATTCCCTGCCTAAATGCAGTACTCGGTGGACCTCGAAGTGATTTGTCATGCACTCGACAAACTAGCTCTCAAACCTTGAATCTCTTCGAGAAATCAACAGAACGGGAAGAACTTGACCAGTCTATTTTTTATGGCCACATTGCACTTGGACTTTGTCCTAAAGTATTTCCGTATCGCTTCGAGATATTGAACAACCTTGCAAGCTTTGTTTACATGCGATTTGGACGCTATGGGGAAGTGGAAGGTCTAGAGGAGGCAATTGAGCTTCGCCGTGCTGCTTTGAAGTTTTGCCTAGACGACGATCCGAATCGTTCCGCGTCTCTGAACAAACTTGCGAATACCCTTCAAACTCGATTTCAGCGACACGGGCAGGCCACGGACCTTGAAGAAGCCATTGAGCATCATCAAGCCTCACTGCAACTCCGTCCCGATGGACATCCATATCGTTTCATATCTCTAAACGACCTTGCAGTTTCTCTTCGAGCTCAATTTCAGCGGCAGGGACGGACTGCGGACCTCGATGAGGCCATCGTGCACCATCGTGCTGCCATGCGACTTTGTACAGACGACCATCCCGATCGTTCCGCATCTCTGAATAACCTTGCAGGTTCCCTTGTAACCCGATGGCAGCAGCACGGACGGACTGCAGACCTCGACGAGGCTATCGAATGCCATCGCGCTGCCTTGCAACTTCGCCCTGAGGGCCATCCAAAATGTTCCGTATCACTAAATAAACTTGCGACTTCCCTTCAAACTCGATTCCAGTGGCGTGGTCAGATTGCAGACCTTGATGAAGCTATCGAATTTTATCGTGCTGCTCTAGCCCTTCCCCCAGGTGGCCATCCCGATCGTTCCATGTCTCTGAATAACCTTGCTGCTTCCCTTCGCACTCGATTTCGACGGCATGGACAGGCTGCAGGCCTTGACGAGGCTATCGAACATCTTCGTGCTGCACTGCAACTTTGCCCTGACGGCCATCCTGACCATTCCGTATCTCTAAACAAACTTGCGAATTTCCTTCTATTTCGATTTCAACAGTATGGACAGATTGCAGACCTTGATGAGGGCATCGAGCATCATCGTGCTGCCTTGCAACTTCGCACCGAGGGCCACCATAATCGTTCCATATCTCTGAATAATCTTGCAGCTTTCCTTCAAACTCGATTTCATCGTTGTGGACGGACCGCGGACCTCGATGAAGCCATTGAACATTGTCGTGCTGTCCTGCACCTTCGCCCCGATGGACATCCCAATCGTTCTGGGTCTCTGAATAACCTTGCTGCTGCTCTTTGTACTCGATTCCAACAGCACGGGCAGGCTGCAGATATTGATGAAGCCATTGCACATCATCGTGATGCCCTGAAACTCCGACCCGATGGCCATCCTGATCGTTCTGCATTCATGCACAACCTTGCAACTTCTCTCCAAGCCCGATTTGAATGTTATGGCCAGGCAGCCGATCTTGACGATGCAATAGAGTATTGCTATGCTGCCCTGCAGCTTCGTCCCGATGGGCATCCTAATCGCTTCACAACTCTAAATAGCCTTACAGCTTCCCTTCAAATTCGATTTCAACAGTATGGACGGAGTGCAGACCTTGAGGAGGCTATCAAATATACTCGTGTCGCCTTGGAACTTTGTCCCGATGGTCATCCAAAACGATCCATACCCCTAAATAACCTCGCAAATTTCCTTCAGCTTCAATTTCAACAGGATGGATGGAACGTAAATCTTAATGAAGCCATCAAGTATTATCGTGCTGCCCTAGAACTTCGCCCTGATGGTCATTTCGATCGTGCTGAGCCTCTGAATAACCTTGCTGCTGCCCTTTTTGCTCGATTTCATCAGCACGGACGGCCTGCAGACCTTGAAGAGGCTATTGAACATGATCGTGCTACCCTGGAACTTCTCCCTGACGGCCATCTCAATCGCGCTGTGCCTCTGAATAGCCTTGCGCTTTTCCTTCGAGCTAGGTTCGAACAGCATGGACGGACTATCGATCTTGATGATGCTATAGAGTATCATCGTGTTGCCCTGCAGCTGCGCCCTGACGGCCATCCCGATCGTCCCATGTCTCTGAATAATCTTGCGAATTCGCTTCAGACTCGATTTCAATTGCATGGACAGTCCGCAGACCTTGATGAAGCCATCGAGCATCATTATGCGGCCCGGCAACTTCGCCCCAACGGCCACCCCGATCAGTTCATGTCCCTGAACAATCTTGCTTATTCCCTTCAAAGTCGATTCAAACAACTTGGACGGAATGTGGACCTTGAAGAGGCCATCAAGTATGATCGTGCTGTCCTGGAACTCCTTCCTGAGGGCCATCCCAATCGATTTGAGTCTCTAAGTAACCTTGCAACCTCCCTTCATGTCCGCTTTCAACAGCATGGACAGACGGATGACCTCGATAATGCCATTGAGTTTCACCGCACGGCCTTGAATCTTTTCCCAGAAGGCCATCCCGATCTTTCTGCAGCACTAGAGAGCTTTGCTTCTTCATTGCTCCCTCAGTTCAAGAAGTTTATGCTTTTGGACAATTTCGAAGAGTGTATGCAATCACTCGAACGTGCTACCATGCATAAGTTCTCAAGCTCGTTAGTACGACTTAGGACCGCCAATTTATGGGCTACCCTTGCCCAAAGTTATAGCCATCATTCCACGACGAGAGCTCACAGGGCGGCAATGATGCTCCTGCAACGCGCTCTCGTCGTCAGTCCTACTCTTCATACTCAACACGACTTCCTCATTCGTGATCACGACTACAGAACGTTCCCACTAGACGCAGCTGCCTTTGCTGCAGAAGAAAACAGGCTTGAAGAGGCTATAGAGATACTCAAACAAGGGAGAGGTTTACTCTGGTCGCAGATGCGCGGATTAAGGACACCTTTAGATCATCTTGCAGAATCAAATGAAGAGCTCGCAGACAGGTTTAGGGATGTTAGTCACCAATTGGAGGTTCTCGTCCTGCGACCTGATTCAAGCATCGTCGGAAGAGGACCACCTTTGTTAGATGTGCCCAGGGAACGGCAGTTGTTCGACGAGAGGCTGAAGCTAAAGAGGCAACTCTCTGATGAGCAGGAGAAGATTATCAATGAGATACGACAGATGCCTGGGTTTGAGAGCTTTCTTGCCGCTAAGTCATTTAAAGATCTCCAGCAGGCGGCAGAGGGTCCGGTTATTTTGGTAAATCATAACGAATACCGATCCGACGCGCTCATAATACTCTCCCGCGAGGATCTATCGGTCGTCTGTGTTCCATTATACGAAGGGTTCTACACTGATAGCATTCAAGTGTACACCAAGCTCCTAGAGACACGAAGGAGTTTTACGGCTGACTCGTCAGAATATGATGAAATACTCGTCGAAGCGATGAAGATGTTGTGGGACAGGGTTGTTTCCAAAGTCGTCGATAAACTGAAGGAGCTCGGGATTTCTGAAGGATCGCGCATTTGGTGGTGTCCTACGTCTGTGCTGTCTGCGCTTCCCTTCCATGCTGCTGGTCCGTTCGAGCGACGAGGATACGGACAGCACTATGAAGCATCTGTTGGATAAATACATTTCATCATATACTCCGACGCTTGGGGCAATCATTAACGCACGATCATGCGGGATCGAAAAAGAATGGGCTACTCTTGTTATAATACTTCACTTCGTTCAGCTAGGGAGGAAATTCGCAAAATCAAGAATTGTAGAATAAAGCCTAAATTACTCAGTAGCAAGGCACCTCACAATGCGGTGCTTGAAGCACTTCGAAAATCGACATGGGTCCAATTTGTTTGCCACGGGCTCTTACAGTCAAAGCCTTTTGATTCGTCATTCAAGGTGTCTGACCGCCAGTTGACGTTGCTCGATATTGTCCAAGCGAATCTGCCGAATGCAGAGTTCGCATACCTTTCTGCCTGCCATACTGCCGAACAGCCTTACGATGGTGCGCATGATGAAGTACTTCACCTGGCTGCAGCAATGCAGTTTTCTGGGTTCCGAAGCGTAATTGGTTCGATGTGGGAGCTACTCGATGTAGATGGGCCCTTCTTTGCCAGAACGGTTTATGAGTACATGTGTGATTGCGATGAGGGTGAGGCAAGGTACAAGCGGGCGGCTGCTGGCCTTCGCGAAGCAGCTGTAGCACTTAAAGGATAACCTGACATTCGGACTGAGAGATGGGTCAACTTGATCCACATCGGCGCTTGATTAACTCTGTAGGTTCTTGTGATGTATAAAATAACGATTGTTTGGTATACACGATACTAGTCATGGTTGTATATGGACAGAAATTAACCGGGGGGTTCGTTCTTTAATTATTTAGATAATACATACATATATTCGCAACACTGATAGTAAACGATATGGCACGAGGATGAACTATTCCGTTTACGTTTATCCCTGGACTTAGGATATCGGTGAATTGAGGCAAGAGTTGGACTTAACAGAGTCCTCGCTGATAGTTTAGAAGAAGCCTCTCGGCAGATAGACTCAACCGCAGACCAGAGAAATTCCAGCGGTGATCACCAGTCTTGCCGTTAATTATGTCGTAAAATACACATGCCGTCCCTCTGTCAATTAACTTCCGATGTTCTGGTGTTCCGATAAACGACACGAAGGCGTACTAGAAGATCCTCACAGCAACATTAAACTTCGGCTTATGTACAAATACTTTAATTCTTGACGAGTAACTAGTCCACTGGAAGCTTCTTGACATAAAAAGAAACATCTACTCCATAGTCGTAAATGAGAAGACTGTATGCGGTGATGCGGTGAAATGGTATCCTTGCACATAGAAGCAGTGATGTGATGCAATGAAAAAGGAACAATCCATTTGTGCAAAGCAAAGGCTAGTGATCCGCGTGCGATAAGTACATAGCAAAGTGCAGTTGAAGCAAACCGTTAAAACCGAAGTAATTTAATGCTTATTTGCATAAATGTTGGATTACTGATTCATCTGGTCGGCAGCGTTTGTATTTGAAATCGAAGTCATGAAAATCGTGATCGTACTTGCTCAGAAAGCCTTCCTTGCCCCAGGCCCTGGGATCTTACTCAGTCCCTTCGTCGGCGGAACGGGCAACCGTGAGGACGAAGTCGTAGAACCACTTGACGTCATGAAGGACGAACGAGAAAACGCCACGGAGTTCGCAGAAGTTGACCGACTAAACGTTCTAGTCGAAGGCACTGATGAGGTGCGGTCAACTCCTGCAACTAAGCTTGGACCAGATACGCTTCTTCCAAGAGTGGCTGATGCGCCGAACCCTGCGGGAGGGCGTTGTGGACCAGTCCTAGTGGTCGTAACTCGCGAGACTGGCCTTGAGGACTGTACTTCAATGATTGGCGACTCAATTGGTTTGAAGAGAGGTGCGTTCGCTGTGAGTGGGACGCGACGTGCACCTCCCATGCGTCCTGTGGTCGCGAAGTTGCTTGACTTGACGGGAGTAGGTTTCGCAGAAGCAGACACTGACAGCCGTCTGAAACTCTGAGTGAGTGAATCCTGCTTTTGATTCTGGCCCTGCTCTTGACCAGATTGGGACTCTGGCGCCATCGGTTTCACAGGTGATAAACTACGTCCGACGTTACCACGTCTCTCAATTGAGGGGCGAGAGATCGAGCTACGACGAACGGGCGCAGGAGCAGCAAGAGCCACATCTGCCTGCTTGACGATGAACGACTGAGAACGCGCTAGTGGCTTGATCTCCGCGGACGACGGCCGCGCGCGTCCAGGACCCTTCTTCGTGTTTTGCGGCATATCCGATTCAACACCGTCCTCTTCCTTAATTTTCTCTGAAATTCCGGAACCACAGCTACGTGACAGCGTCTTGCTCTTCCGAAGCACCGCTTGGGTCTTCTTCGGTGCGAGTGCCTGCTCGCGGTCATTTGCCCTGGAGAAGGGTGAAGATAAAGGAGTACGTGGCTGTAAATCTATGGGAGAGGCGAGACTCGCGGCGATGCCGTCGCTCTCGCCGCTGAATACCAAGCCGGAGGTCGATATAGACCGACGGAAGACGGCGGAATGCTTCCGCAACGGTGTTTTTGCTGCGAAGTTGCTCGTCTCCGAGCTTAACCCATCAACATGCAAGTCAGGTTTTTTAGAGGACACCTTTCCGTCTGGGGACAGTCTCATTAACTACTGAAAGGATGTTATTTCCTAGTGAATCTTAAACTTACCATTGTAGTCCATCTGAGTTGACTGCGAGGAAGATCGCACCGTCTTCCCTGGGCCACAGTCATGGACGGTGTCCGCAAACGAATCTTCTTTAAGACGCGCCAGAAATGACAAGTCATCGTTAAGAAGATCACCAGAGAGATCAATCTTTTTCATGCATAATGAATTGCTAATTTCGAATGACGACCCGTGAAAGCCGGACGGAGGATCCTGGAATATCGGTTTCGGATCGTACGCAGGAGTAGAGCTGAACAATGCTGGAGATTTAGATGAGAATGGAAGCGAAGGCGCTGGATACTCAGAAGCGTGCTGTGCAGCGTTTGGTGGAGTTTGATGAGTAACAGAGGAAGAATCGAGTTTTGGGGATAGAAGGCTACGCGGTGTTCGAACTGCTCCAGCTGGTGCCAGAGGTGAAGATATTGGAGGTGTGGAAAGCCCTGCTGCGAATTTACGTTCGCTTTTCGGCGTAATGGTCGGCGTGCCGAACTTCTTCAACCGTTTGTCTTTTGCCACACTCTGAGGTGTCTTATTGTTACCATCGAGCTGAGCGATTGAGATCTCGGATAAAGGCTCTCGATGAGGTTCACCTCGAGCTACACTATCCTGAGTTATGTTGCAGAGGTCATTTAGTTCATCTGCAAGTTGAACCAGACACAGATTCGACGTGTCGTTATCCTTGGGTTCTATGGAGAACGAACCCCCAAGCAGGTCGGCATCAGCAGAGTAGCCGTGGCCTCTCGCATGTCCTAATTGCAGCTGTGCACACTTGATGGCATGGGCCTCTGAGCATCCACCACCGCACGTCTTCGCGCAGCTGCCCTTCGGCGTGTTCGAATTGACATTCTCCTTGTCGGATCCCGACTCAGCAGATGGCGACGGGGACAAAGAGTCACGCGTGGGCGTCGAAGGTGATTCGGAGGAGATGGTGAGAGGGTCGAAAAGGGCGAGGAGGCTTGGGCGAGGACGGGAGGCCATGATGGTCGTTTTGGTTCAACAGTTTGCTTCCGCTTAGGATTCGCGTCATTCCACATATGGACAGCCTCGTGACTTGCACGCGCTCAACACGCGCCTTTTCCGTACTCCGATTAGCACTCCGCTTATATGTATCCGGCTGTTATTTAGTACTTCAAGCACCTCCCATATTGTATTTCAAGCCTACGACGAAAATTCTCTTCGTTCCTCAGTACAATATAATGTACCATATGCTGCTCCAGTATCATCATTATCAGTGCAAGTATTGCAAAATTTTGATGAAGTATATACAGGCCCCAAGGTGGAGGGTGCTTACATTTCGAATATCACTCCTGGACGGCGCGGCCTACTCGCTGCCCTATTGAAAAAAAGAACGCACGTTATCCCTCCATACGATTCAGAAAAGGAATGGAACATTACAGAACAGACAGTAATTTTTTCCCTGTTTATAAAGAACACACACAAAAGAGAAACATTTTACAAGAGGAAAGTGAACATGAGGTATGAGAAGGATTAAATAATATGAATTGGCTGTGAGTAGAGTGCACAGTGCTACAAAATATATGTTTCTAATAGTCATATAAGCTGTAGGTAGCTTGAAGGCACAACTACTCAAGCATATTAATTTCTCATTAAAGGTATATGTGCAAAACTTCGACTCACTTCCGACAATCCCATTCGCTTTCTTTGCTTGACACCACTTCCCTCGTTTTTTGAGTATCTCGAGAGTGTCATTTTTGTTAAATGAAATCTCATTAGTATTATTTGGGTCTGCTTTATCTTGAAGTAATGTTAGCACTCAGGTCTTGGGAAAAATATAATATATCTACTGTACTGACAAGTGTATAGTGCCCTGGCTCGATACACAGGCCGAGCGCCATTAAGAAGCATTTTATAAGTTGATGGTGCAACTATCCAAGCATGTCAGTTTTATATAGAAAAATATGTGTAAATCTTTAACTTACTTCCAATAGTGCCATCTTCTTTCCTTACTTGCCACCACAGACCTTCGTTGTTAAGGACTTCGAGAAGATCATCCTTGTTGAACGAGATCCCATGTGGATCATTTAGGTCTGCTGTATCTTAAAGTAATGTAAGTACACATAACTAGAAAAAGTATAATGTATCTACTATACTAACAAGAGTAGAGTGCCTTAGCCCACAAAGTACTAGAATCACCAGACTTGAAAATATAAGTCTCAAATATTAACATTCCAGCTTCAATACTACTGCTGATGCTTAATGCTCTAAGCAGGTCTCGAATGGGTTGCTCTATTTCTCCCTTATCTTTAGTAACCCTGCTCTTGGTAACTTTTGCAAGACTTGACTGGAGGAATCTGAGTAAGTTGCCTTTTCCTCTCTTAAATCCATTGGAGCTCTCTGGACCAGACAGATTAACACAAACGGAATGGCTTTCTCCTCTCTTAGATCCATTAGAGCTGTCTGTATCAGGCATAAATAAGGTTTTTGACTGAGGGTGAAAGATATCTAAGGAAATAAGGATTGTTAGTTCTCTAGGCAGAAGTATTAATCATTACACTCAACATTCTCCCTGGAAGTCCTGTTCTTCTCCTACTGATCCTGTAGCGGGACTTTTGACATCCCCGAGTCCGAGATCCTTTGCAAGATTGAGGAAGGGTTTTCTATTTGTAGCTAATTTTGCTGCAGCAAAAAATGCTGGGTCTGAATACAAACTTGTGTTGAGTGATGCATTTGTATTGTTGAAGAAAGGGCTGGATTGATGAGAAGTGTTGACGTGCGCGGACAGCAGCACTGGATCCGACTCCTGTTGTTTTGAAGGGAGTACAGCTCCAAGCCTGAGAGCAATAACTGTCATTGTGGGGCGATGACTCGGTTCCCACCTCCAGCAACTCATACAAACTTCCCAGAGCTGCGACCTAGTTCCGATTATGAGACCTTCTGTTGGTGGAGAAGGAAGGATCTTCTGTGTAATTGCAACTATGACTTGTCCGTCGCGCTTGAGATGCGAATAAGGTTGATCTCCCGTCAAAACTTCCTGGAGGCATTATTAAGGACGTTATATCATAATGTCAATGAGATAAAATCCTACCAACAATGTCATTCCAAATGACCAGGTATCCGACTCTTTTGTAGCTGTTTGGTATTGCTCTGAGTCTGCTAAAAGCTCATAGGCCAGCCATCTACAGGAACCTCTAGCACCGGTTACTGTGCTCGATACGCCAGCTGCCTGAGCATCCTGGGTGACATGAGCAGCTCCGAAGTCGCATATCAGCGCTTCATATGTCGAAGAAATGAGCACGTTCCCCTAATAACTTGTGAGCGGTGCACGAAATGACCATGCCTAATTAACATACGGATTTAAAGTCAGAATGTATAACTCCATTTGCATGGAGGTATGCGAGGCCTTCTGCCATACCATGTGCCTATCGTATTATTATGAGAGGTTGTAGATTGAAGACAAGAAATAGGAACGGATAGGCAACATACAAGCCTATTAATATCGCAATCTCGGTTGCTCTTGACGAACTCTAGTATGTTACCGTTTTCCATCCATTCGGAAACCAAGGACGGCAAACGTGATAGTCCACCAGTCTCTTCAAGCATGTATCCGGCCAAAGGGAGGACGTTGGGATGGCTCAATTTGCTCCACGCTCTAATCTCACGCCTAAACACCTGCAAAGAATACTTAAACAGAGCCGCGATCCACTCGATCGTGATTTACTTGCCCTTATAACATCCCGACCTCCATCTAGATAAATTCTCAAACGTTTGATAGCAACACGGCAGTGACGGCACTCAGTGTCATCTTTCCGTCTGCAACGACCTTTATAGATATCACCGAATCCCCCTTGTGCAATTGGACATTGTGAATCGTACTCGACAGATCCAGTAAGGTCGAGATACCTCAGATCGATCAGTAGTTGATCGACTTCGATGTGTTGGGCAGTCTGTCGTTTGGCATTTGCCATCACTGACTGCCAAATTGGTTGACTTAAGCATAGCCTACTGTTTTAAATTATCGGTTCTATTATATCATTACCGAAATGTAGATAGATGAACAACATAACATGATAGGGTTTGCACAGTATTGTAAGTTATTGTATTGTAGAGGTTTTTAAGTTGTTGGAATGGGTAATGGCTTTCAGCAGTCAATGGATTTTTCATGGATCATGGAACTTTGGTCCTCAATTCCCACACTATGTTCCACAACGTCCCATCACCATACTCATGCCCAGCTCAAGACTTGCAAGATTCTATTGGTAATATAGCTGGAATATTTGTACCTGCTCGTCTTAACTCTAGGCTTGCTAGATTCTGTTGAGAATTTTAGCTAACATTATTGAACAATTTATGTAAGAAATCAGAATGTTGAAATCTGCTAGACTGTGGGTGCTTTCCACCACTGTTTCCTCAATGCTTGTTGGGTGAAGGAAAGCTATCCTGGTTCTTAGAGTCAAATACCCATTACTACAGCAGAAGATACAGACTCTTCCTGCTGGGTCACTATTTATCCTTATCAGCCATGTGTATACTTAAAATACCAGCTTGATTATTGAAACACCTTCAATTATATAAGAATGGTTGAAGACTCCTGTGTTGCTTTAATTTCTACCTCACACACAGCTCGACTGTGAAGTATGTGCTTTTATATGCTCAGGAGAGCTCAGCAGTAGACTTCTGACGGAACAGGCATGTTACTCATACGTTGCAACTCAACTCGAGTCGTTTTGCGTGTCAATAATGGCAAGACTGGGTTGCTCTTCAAATAATTATTCTGCTGTTATATTTCATCCCGTTAAATGTCATTCATGCTGCGGTAGCATCTATAGGAAGGCCTTACATTATTTTATTTTGATTGGTGACTTCCTTATTCGGTCGCCTCAGTTATCTTATCTCAGACGAGATAAGCCCGAAAAAGTCGATCAAAAACTGAACGTCATACTTAAACATAAACTTTGCTCTCCACCACGTCCGTCTCTTGTTCTCTGGCATTCACAACGCTCCGTTCACTCGTGCAAAGTAGATAAACGACGACAACATGACCGAAATTCATGACCACTTCGACACCATCCTCATCCTAGATTTTGGTTCTCAAGTTCGTCGTTCGTGTCATGCTTGATCGAGTGACTCGACCTCACGAATCTGCGTAGTACAGCCACTTGATCACTAGACGTTGCAGAGAACACAGCGTATACGCCGAATTACTACCTTGTACGCAGAAGATCGCTGACCTCAAATGGAGACCAAAAGGTGCGTTTAGGTGTTTTTCATGAAAGGGGCTGCATACAACCAAGTCGTGCGGCGCCATGCTGTAGGCGTCATCCTCTCTGGCTCACCATACTCCGTGTACGATGCGGATGCACCACATGTCGATCCGGAAGTCTTCAGTCTGGGCGTCCCAGTTCTCGGAATTTGTTATGGTTTACAGGAGATGGCGTGGAATATGAATGGCAAAGTCGCCAAGTGCGATCGTCGCGAATACGGATTTGCGCAGCTTGAGGTGGGCAAGGGCGAAAACGTGGATAGACTATTCGCCTCTCTTGGGGAAGAAATGCAGGTTTGTCTATCATTCCTGCGTTCGATATTCTTCGCCCTGATTGGTTTATCTTGATAGGTCTGGATGTCGCATGGTGACCAATTACTGGACTTACCTCCCGATTTCCATGTCGTCGGTCACACAAAGACCGCGCCATATGCCGCCATTGGTCATAACTCAAAACCATTCTGGGGTATCCAGTTCCATCCAGAAGTCACGCATTCGCCCATGGGCAGAGCTCTAATTGGGCAATTCATACTCGAGATTTGCGATTGTCAATCACATTGGACGATGGTAAAATTTTCGCCTCACGACTTTTTTTGTTATCTTTTCATTGAACATTTCGTATAGGAAGAGTTCATTGGTAAAGAAGTGAAACGAATTCGCGACATGGTCGGACCAACAGGTCGCGTTATCGGCGCAGTCAGCGGTGGAGTCGACAGCACAGTCGCTGCAAAACTAATGCACGAAGCAATTGGCGATCGTTTTCACGCTATCATGGTAGACAACGGCGTACTAAGACTAAACGAAGGCAAAACCGTATACGACAGGCTAAATCGTGATTTAGGTGTGAACCTAACGCTCGTGGACGCGTCGGAGCTCTTCCTCTCGCGCCTTGCTGGGATAGAAGACCCGGAACAGAAACGCAAGATTATTGGGAACACGTTCATCAATGTTTTCGAAGAAGAAGCGCATAAGCTTGATTCGGAGGTGCAAAAGTCTGGCGGACAGTCGCAGAAGATCGAGTGGCTCCTCCAGGGTACGCTCTATCCAGATGTGATCGAGAGTATTAGCTTCAAAGGTCCGAGTGCGACGATCAAGACGCATCATAATGTCGGCGGTCTGCTCAAAGATATGAAACTTAAACTCATCGAGCCTCTCCGTGAATTATTCAAAGGTGCACATCTCCCTCGATCCTTTCACCTTCCCCGCTGATTCTCGATTTCTGCATAACAGACGAAGTCCGAGCCCTCGGTCGTCTCCTAAGCATCCCCAACCACCTCGTCCAACGGCACCCATTCCCTGGTCCAGGTCTCGCAATCCGCATCCTAGGCCCAGTTACACACTCACAAGTCGAGATCTTACAAAAGGCGGATAACATCTACATTGAGGAGATCCGGAACGCGGGTTTGTACGACCAGATAAGTCAAGCCTTCGCCGTTCTCCTCCCTGTAAAAGCTGTTGGCGTTATGGGAGATAAACGAACATACGAGCAGGTGCGTCTCCGCAATACTACACTATTCTGTCTGATCTCGGGGATCTGACCGAGATGTTGAGTAGGTCATCGCTCTGCGCGCAGTTCAAACGGAGGACTTCATGACCGCCGACTGGTGAGTCGAAAGCATTTTCCTTCTCCAATATCGCCTCTTCACATATCAATATACCTCCCAGGTATGTCTTCCCACCAGAAACCCTACGCAAGATCTCCAGTCGCATCACCAACGAAGTGGAGGGCATCAATCGAGTCACCTATGACATCTCCTCTAAACCACCTGCTGTCAGTACCATTCCACTTCTCTTCGTATCTTACTCCTCTTTCTAAAAAAATTATTGCTGGATATTAATTAATTAATTTCTAGACCGTCGAGTGGCTGTAGTCCTACTTGGAATAGTACTCTTCTACTCTCCATCTTGCGGCTTTTCAGTGCTGTCAGACAGATGATGGCATATCTTCTAAGTTCTGGGTCACGATACATAATGATTTCGTTGTTAGAAGCTATTTCTTTTCTGTTACTAGTTCCATATGAATACTTAGGTTTGAGGTCTATGAGAGCGAATTCCATGGCGTCAGGGTCCAGCTGCAACGAAATGAGAAATTGAGAGAAGACAGACTCGGAATTTGGTTGAGATCAAAGGGACTGTAGTAGTCGCCTTATCTAGCTTTGCGGCTTTATAGCGTGCAGAGACTTATCCTGCCTGACAAGACGCAACAAATCACAAGAACAGCACTTCTGCCTATTGTGGGATGATATTGGACGTTAAGGCAGCCGATGGACTGCGCATATTTCCTATTGGAGCTACCTCCATCACCCGACCAGCAATATCAAGCTATTTTTAGGAGTCAATCCTATTTATATCTCTCAATACTTAATAATAAAAACACGAACCGAAACTTAATTTTGGAGAATCGTCTGTGCCTCGCCATGTCACCCCACATCCTTCCCGCCAGAGGAGGGAGTCGGCGCAAATTGTATGTACATGCTCAAAAGGATAAAGGCAAGCGAGGAGTTGACATGTAGACGCGATCGATGAGTGATTAAAAATGAATAAGAGTCATGAGTAACGTTCGTCAATTCGTGTGTATGTCCATAGGAAAGCAGCAAACACATTACACTCCGTTCTAATAAAAATTTGCGAGTGAACAAATCGACTAGTCCGTCCGTCTCCACCCCTCCATCCGATGATTATAAACCGAATCGAGGGAGCCAATACACAACAAGGAAAAGCGCAAGAGAAAAAGCAAATGACACATATGCGAAATTAAAATAATTTGTTAGATCTACAAACTACGCAAACACGAGCCATGCGCCGCCTAATGTTCCCGAGAGCAGTGCGGCGCCCGCAGCACAGGCGTATGAATTTCGCAATAATGGTAGGAGACGCGTGGCGCTGGAGGCGGTATCTGCTGCAACGGTGTTCGTCCCAACGATATTTAACCAGCTGCTATAGTTGAGGATCGTCCCAGTGAAAGTTTGCGAGGGAGTCACTGTTCCCGTGACAGAGCTATCGTTTTTCATTCATCGATAAAGAGCGGTGTAAAATGAAAGAGGGTAAGTCGGACGTGTCGGATGTCGGCGTATCCGAAAATAGCGGAGAAGAAACAAGACTCACGTAGGCGTGAAAGTATCAAGGATGACAGTTGGGTCCCCCAACGCATCCGTAGTCGTATACACATATGTCGTTACTAACGCTGTAGTAGCCGCAGGCTGACCTACAGGCCCTTGGTTAAGTGGTTGAGTAGTCGTTGTTGTCTGCTGCGCAGCACCGCCTTGCAGAGTTTGCCTGTCTCGCGCATCTCAGTATCCGATTCATCCAAAATATAATAATAATAATAATAATTGTTCAAACGAGACGTACAGTGTTTGTGTTGTTGGTAAACCTTGGACTGGATCAAGCGTAATGACTTCAACGATGGTTTGTCCCGCCCTGACGGAGGGAGGGGCGCATAAGTCCGGAGCGGCGGGACTATACTGAATGGAGATACTCACGCGTCGACGAGAGTCTGTGTTTGTGCGCGTACCAAGACAGCAGACAGGCAAAGCAGGATGAACGAAATGGTGTACTTCATCTTGACTGCTAGGATGAATTGGCTGGACGGCAGAGAAGGCCGACGAGCGCGTCGTCGCCGAGTAGTTGACGATGGAGACGTTGAAGGGTGAAGTGAGAGAGTTGCTGGAGTGAGGAAATGACGAGGTTGACACTAATAGGAATGTTAGGGCTTAGGTGACGTCTCATATCCATTTAAGTAGTCTAGGGTTATAAAATACCGCACTATAGAAAGCGAATAGTTCTCACGATTTAATCTAATTCATCTTTTATTTTAACACAAATGATCATCAGCAGCACTTTCTCCAGTTGCTCCCGTCTCCTCGTAGTACCTTCGCCACATCTATCAGCATCATCTTCACTCTTTTCCATTTCTACTCGTCTGTTTTCTGTCTCATCTGTTGCGCACGTAAAGAAAAGGATGGCTCCAAAAAAGGCTGGTGCGGAGAAGGAGAAAAGGGTTCTGCTCGGCCGACCAAGCAATAACTTGAAGATCGGTATCGTAGGTATGTCTTTCCGTTCTCTCTGCCTTACCCCATTCTCATCTGATGCCAGTTGAACTTATATAGGCTTACCAAACGTCGGAAAATCGTCTTTCTTCAACGCGCTGTCAAATACCGGTACAGGCTCCGAAATTTTCAGCAATTTTCAGGGCGCTTACGCTTGTGATTTTGTGTAGACTTGGGGAAAGCTGCAAACTTCCCTTATGCTACTATCAATCCCGAGGTGAGTTACCATCTCTAGTGCCATCTATACGAGACAATTAATCTTGCAATCAGGAAGCTCGGATACCTGTTCCTGACCCGCGTTTCGACTGGCTCTGCGAGCTTTACAAGCCCGCTTCAAAAGTGCCCGCATTCTTGACATGTATTGATATTGCCGGTCTGACCGCTGTATGTCGCTGGTCTTTCACTCATACTACTCATACTGCTCTAGAGACTAAAATGATACGCAACAGGGTGCATCAACAGGCGCTGGTCTGGGCAACGCTTTCCTCTCACACGTCCGTTCCGTCGACGGGATCTTTCAAGTCGTACGTGCATTCGACGATGCAGAAGTAACACACGTCGAGGGTGACGTCGACCCTATACGAGATATGGAAATCATCCAGACCGAGCTCCGATTGAAGGACATTGAGTGGGTCGAAAAAGCCTTGGACGGGTTGAAGAGGGGTGCACGAGCACTGAATAGTACAAGTTTGGCTGATAGGGCTAAGAAGGAGGAAATTGTAAGATCCTTCTTGTTTGTTGATGTAAGTCTGGCTGACCATTGATTGTAGACGACGGTCGAGAAAGTCCTGAAATGCGTACAAGAGGATGGCAAGGACGTCCGTAAAGGCGACTGGACCAACAAAGAGGTATGTTATAGTATCCTCTGTGACATTTCAATTTGTATCCCTTGCTTTCTTGATGAGAAAGAGCGTAAAGCTCGATTTAACCCAGCTCTTTGAGGAGGGAGTAACGCCCCAAATTCCTTTGAAATAATAGACGATCTGACCTTTTCCTCTTTTCTTCACACGACTTTGCCAAATGGAAACTTAATAACTAACGAGACAATTTCTCAAGATCGATGTCATTAACGGCCTTATGCTCCTGACAGCGAAGCCTGTCACTTACCTCGTCAACCTCAGCGAACGTGACTACATTCGGAAAAAGAACAAATGGTGCGTTCCACTTTCACCTTTTCAAATTCCCAAAATACACCATAGTCCCCGACAGCTGACTTTTCGTACAGGTTGCCAAAAATCAAAGCCTGGATTGACGAACACAACCCAGGCGACCCTCTCATTCCCTTCTCCGTGGCACTAGAAGAACGTCTCGCACTCATGTCTCCTGAAGAGAAGGAAGAAGAGCAGAAGAAAATCGGTGCGACGAGTTCATTGGGGAAGATCACGCAAGCTGGGTATTCTAGTCTCGACGTACGTTACTTTCCCCTTATCTACGATTACTGTTACTGTTAATGCTGTGTGTGCTAAATAATGTTCTCGTTCTTTTCACGTAGTTGATTCGGTACTTCACCTGCGGACCAGACGAAGTTCGCGCATGGACAATCCGAAGAGGGATCAAAGCTCCTCAGGCGGCTGGTGTCATTCAGTGCGTACACCCCCCTCCTTCCCATTACCCATTCTCCTACAACACTCATATCATGTCATGATTCTGACTTACGTACGCGTTTGTTATTCACATCTCAGCACGGACTTTGAGAACAAATTCGTCTGCGGTGAGATCATGAGCTACGAAGACCTCCGCGAATACGGGAGCGAAGCGTCTGTTAAGGCTGCTGGGAAGCTTAGGCAGCAGGGAAAACCTTATGAAAGTCAGTTTTCTCTTGTTCTCATTCTCTGTTTAGTTGCCTAGAGAGCCGTGAACTAACAAATAGTCTCCAGTGATTGACGGAGACATTGCATACTGGAAAGCTGGTATGTAAGAGGAGTGGATTGACGGGGAGCGGTTGTAGATAGTGTTTTTTTTGTGAGGGTGTAGATGAAGATACAAAGAAGCCTGTACAAACTGTATTCTGTGTCGAGTTCCAGGCAGTTATAAAGGGTGGTGCAGACAAGATGTAGATTTATTCAAGATCTATATCATACTTTGCTCCTCCTCGAGTATATACGACGTTTGTGTGTAAGCTAGCAAATTCATTCTCGGGTATAATTTATCGTGAAATTTAATCAAGAGATAAGTCAGATTCAAGCAAAAGAAAGATAGTTTACCAGCCTCCCGGCATCCCATGTCCACCTCCAACCCCACTTACCCGTCTTCCACCACCCTCACCACCACCACCCTCTCTCCTCGCCTCCTCCAACACATCTTCGTTCAACTCCCTCGCAAGCCGCCTCGCATATTCCTCATCACTCTCCACAACACTCTTCGTCGGAGGCGGCTTAAACGAAGGGGGCGGAGGAGGTGGAGGTGCGCCAGAATTTGATGAACTTGAAGCATTATTATTATTATTATTGGAGTCTTCGAGCTCACACTCCGCTGCAAGTCGCCTTGCAAGCTCTGCATCTGCTTCTTCCTGTTGAGCCCTTGCAAGTGCTGCGCGTTCGCGTTCGAGGTATGAGTCTGGGACTCGGGAGGGTGGACGGTGTTGTGTTTGTGTTTGTGTTTGTGTTTGCGATTGCGATTGCGATTGCGATTGTGTATGTGGTACGCTGACAGGTGCTGGAACTGAAGCTGGAATTGGCGTTGGCGTTGGGGTAGTCGAATGTGGTGGTACAGGCGGGTTCGAGTTCACTCTCGTATGTCCACTCGCATTCGCATTCGCATTGGCGGGGTGCCCACTAGACGACTTCGGCGGCGGAGGCGGCGACACACCAGGAGGCAAAGGCATCGGCGAGCTATACCTCGTCGACAACCTCCTCTGTCTCTCTTCCTCCGTCTCACCAGGGTACAACGCAAAGAAATTCGAATTCCCATTCGTCCCTTGTGGTGGATAAGAAGATAATCCAGGTCCAGGTCCAGGTCCGGGTGCTGAGATGTTGGGCTCAGGAAACGCGAATTGCATTGGTTGTTGTGCTTGCGGGGGTTGCGCAGTGGGAGGTGAAGGACTTGACGCTGCGAATCGGATAGGCGGAGTGTCGTATGAGGGGTTGGAAGGGAAGGGTGAGGTAGAAGGATAAGGTGATCCGGATGAGTAGGGAGCGTAGTTATTTTGTGGTGGATAGGCAGTATGATTCGCAGGGGATACTGGTGGATGAGGAGCTTGGTAAACGGGCTGATTTGTTGCAGGCAAAGAGGTCTGATGAGCAGGAGCATGGTACGAATGCTGCTGCTGATGTTGAGCGGAATATCCCGGCTGGGCAGGCGGGGTTGCAGCCGGATGAAGTGCGTACTCGTTCTGAGGAGGGTGGTACGCCTGCTGAGCTGGTACAGGCCCTACAGCCGCAGATCCATAACCATTCGGCATCGGTTGCGGGCCGTAATAAGGACCCTGCACGTTTCCAGCTGGTAGAGGAGATTGATACGCAGGCGCAGACGAAGATGGCAAAGACGAAACACGTTGTCTCTGCGGTTGCTGCTGCTGAGTCTGTGCAGTCGGCCTAGGCAGCCCACTAGGTCCTCCTGCTCTCAGCGCAGCAGGTATGCCAGCAGACTCCGGTTTCGGCGACGTATCTGTACTCGCCGCCTTTCCATGCGCCGCACCACCTCCAGGCCTCGCAGCAGTTCCACTAGCAGAAGCCCTATTTGCAGCAGGTACCAGCAACGCAGGTACTTCATCCGGAATCGACGGTAGCGGAGGCTCATTGCGCGAACTCGGCGACTGCGAACGTGAATGTCTCTGTGGCGCAAGGTGTACCGGCCTCGGTGACGTCGAGTACTCCGGCCTAAGATCTGCATAATGCCCTGGAGGTGAGTTATACGGAGACGGCTGCGCAGACCCCTTCGGCGATGTCTGCGCTGGCCGCCATAACCTCTCACTAGGTTCCAATTTCGAAGGTCGTCGAGCAAGAGAAGGTGGCGGACCAGCAGCGAAGAACGTCATTTCGAGATATATCTCTCCGCGATATGCCCCGTTCGTCTCAAACTTTATCCAATCTAAACAAAGGAATATCCAGCCAGTGTAAGTGGTACATTTGACTCATGTCTGGGAAGAAGTATACGTACCATCGAACTCCCCAGTCGATAGTGTCTCTGTGATATCCACTTCTCCAGAACCAATCAAGTCATCCCCTTTAGGCTCCTTCGCATAACATGATACTTTCATAATTCTATTCTTCTTCGTGTCTGCTTCTAAGACCTTGACATGGAGGTCTTGATCCCTACAGCACGAGTATACCACGCATTAGACATTCATTCCGTTAGCAGTCTGAGATTACAAGAACGCACCAAACAGGATGTTGTCCTCCTCTCTTATCAATCTGCGTCTGCACCTTACATGGACCCAATTCAACAACAGCATACGGGTCTTGCTTCGTAAACGTATGTTTATCAGGAAGATTGCGCTGCAAAAACAGCAAAACCCAGAAGAGTGTCAGTTCAATATCTTATATCTATATCTTTTATCAGATTCAGACGAAAGACATACCGCTTTCAACACAACGACGACCAAGGTCCCCAGTTCTTTATCGTTAGAGCTCGCAGCAGTAGCAGCAGTCATATCGTCGTCGTCGTCGTTCAAGACAAGAGGCGAAGCAGGCGGCTACACTGGGCGATGCAAAGTCTCAAGTTTACACTTACAGCTGTGCCTCGCTTGCCAAAAGTAGCAACCATCCAGCGCTGACGTCGGTTGTGATGTATGAAATCAATCTAACAGATCAGTCAAATTCAAATTCCAAGCGAGCAAATCATGTCAATCGAAACTTATTTATTCAAATGTATTTCTTGAATCCTGTACACATTTCCCGATCAACATACACTACACTAACAGAGCTTACAAAGTCCAAGAATAGAGTAAAGGGTACGACTATCGGCAGAAACTTCCTTCAATTTCAAGTAGAATAAATAGCGGGTCATTGCAAGAACGATTGGAATAGAATAATATGCAGCGTTGGAACTCAAATCGATGAATAGAACGCACGACGAGAAGGTAAAGTAAGGGAATAATTATTATGGGAACAAGGTAGCGAAAGAAAAGTTCAAGAGTGAGGGTGGGTAACTTGAGAGCCTACAGACGACTACATTAGACTGGAGTCTGAGTCAATGGTGACGATGTGACCGGTTTCGCTTGGACAGCAGGCGACCTGGATCCAGACCTGCTGCCGTTGCCGTTCGAAGCAGTAGGTTTGCGTACGCGACCAATGCCCATACCTACTCGGACAAGTGTCTCAAGGGATGCTCTTCCATTGATCAAGAGGTCTTCATCCCACTCAACGGCACCCTTTTCGAAAAGGCACACAATAGTAGAACCACCTACGGTATAATAATGTCAGAAGCTGATATCGATCTCTAAATGAAACTAGGCTCACCAAATGCAAAGTATCCAAACTCCTGACCGCGCTTTACCTCCTCACCCTCTTGGACAGTAGTAAGGATACTTCCGACCATCATTGCACCCACGCAGACAGCCATGACTCGACCAAATACAGGACTGTCAATAGGCACAATCTTCCGCGCATTCTCTCCATATACATCAAGTGCCGTTCGAATAGCCTGAGGCTGTGATATCCAAAGGATCAGCGATCCTCATCATTGCACTGTGAAATAACACAATTCGTTACTCACGTTAACAGTATAATATTCCCCAGCAATGTAGGTCATAGGCCCAATCTTACCATCCACGGGAGAGTGGAACCGGTGGTAATCCTGGGGTGCAAGTCGGAAGATAGCAAGTGCGCCACCGTTGTACTTGTCCGCTTGATCACGGTACGTTTCACCCAGCAGGCGGGCAACACTGAACTCACGGCCTTTAATCCACAGCCGAGTCGCTTCGCTGACAGTCTCAAATGCCATCATACGACAATCGGCGGCACTGACAAGGCGCGTCGGATCTTCGGGAGCCTCCACAGGCCTTGCGTCTGGTTTTAATTTTCTAAGCAAAGAGGTCGATGAGAAATCCTGTCAAACCATGTCACGTAGAGAAACCCACCGATAGAAGAACGCGTTGAACGTTTCTGTGTCCCGAGTAAATTTACGCAATGATAAGAAAAGGAAAAGGAGAAACGTACTAAAAGAATCGAGCGGATCCAGAATTTCATCTACTTTAAGCTTGTGGAATTGAATGAATGCGGGTATATCATTAGCGGACTCGGGTGAGTCGTATTTTATGCCTTGTTTGATAGATAGTGATTTGAGAAGTCGGCGAGCTAGGGCATCCGAGTGAGTAAAGCGAAATTCTTTATGAGAGAATTAACTCACCCCTTGCACCTTCCATTCGGCTCTTTGCTCCCTAAAGAGGAGTTATTATTTGTGATATGGTACGAGGTTAAGGAGGCCCACCTTATATAATAGTCGAATACCTAGCCTAACGTACACTTGCATTTTCTCTTCTTCGAGTTGACCAGTGATCCTATTTTGCACGATGATATTGGCAGAGTTCTGCAGACGGAATTGGTTAAGGGAAATTCCATCAAAACATTAGACAGCAACATACCGCGCCCAGTTTGTAGTTTCCAGAAGAAACCTTGGAGATCACCTTGGTGTACCACTTCCTCTGCGCCTGACTAGCAGTCACAAAGTTATTGACAACAATACGATCCACCCTTGCCCAATCCTGACTCGCACAAATAGCCAAATGAGTGACAATATCAACCTCCGCTCTCGAGTTGATCCTCGGTTTATGGCACAGCGGACAATTCTTGACGTTGATAACGCGCTCAAAGCTCTCATCCGAATTATTTCCCGAAGATTCATCGTTATCCGCATCTGAGGAAGACGATGATGGTGTATGTCGATCAGCAGCAGCAACGACCGCAGGCTGGAATCCGACAGGAACCCGCGTAGATGCAGAGTCAATGATCGGCTGCGTAGCTTTAGTGAGAGGCTGTTGATTTGGCTCCGTCGGGTATACAGGAATGGAATCCTCTCGGACAGCAGTAGGATGAGTTGGTGCTCCAGAGAAGTCGATGTTCTCAAGACCAAGACCTGGGCCAGGAGGAGTCACCCCGTTTCCACTATTCAAGAGCGAAGGGGTAGACGGCACACTAGTATCCGGTCCGCCAGCATCCTCGGTGCTAAGGCGCTTCTTCTCAGCTGGTGGTCGACAAAGCTCCTCCTCCAGGCACCGAATTACCTCGTTAAACGTGAGCTCATCTTCGTCAGGCTTCTTCCCATATCTAACGAAGAACGCGTCAATCGTTTCCCTTGACAGCGTCGAGCCCAGTGAATCCAGCATAGAAGTAAGCTCGAGTCTCGAAATAATGCCACTGTCATCCGTGTCATACTGCTTAAGATATTGTCGCCAGAATTGCTGACGCAACAAATCGTACGGTTGATACTTCGCTCTAGAAATGAAAGTCAAGTCGCAGAGCCATCATGCTTGGAACATAAACGCTTACCGAACCGTTAGCACAGGATTGTGCTTCGCCTCCCAAGGCATTTCCTTCTCAGTCGTCAAGCTGAGTCTGAAGTCCTGCATCTCGTTGTCTGACTGCCCCGCATTATCAGGATACAAGCTCGTATTTTCGTCTTTCTTTGGCGCATTCTTGATTAACTCATTGACATCGAAATTCGCATCTCCAACATGATCATTCGAAGAAAGCTTATCCCAATCAAGAACTGAGAGTCGAACTTTGAAATTTGCTTCGTATCGCCGAACCGGGAACACGAGCTTCTCGTCCCATTGAGGATTTAGAGAATGCCGGATAACACGTGTACGGAAGACCTTCTTGCCAAAGGAAATGACAACAAACGGATCCATGTCCCAGCCTGTCCGAGTCACTGTAGAAACGCGTCAACAAATGAATAAGTATTCATAAGTGGCATCCAACTCACTATTCTTCAACTTTGGGAGATCTTCTGCGCTCTTAATTTCAAGCATGACAATACCGAGGATATCATTTGAGGCGTTGAAATTGTAATCTCCACTCCGAGTACGCCATTTACGCTTGAATTTGGATCGCTTTGCCGAACTGGGAATTGCAGACGGTGTACCGGGCGTAGACGGCCGAGATAGAGACGTGGGGGATGGGGAAGGCGCACCTGACGAAGTAAGATTACTAGCACTAGAATCTGTTGAAGTGGCAGACTGGAGACTTGGGCGTTTCTTGTTCTTGAAAACACGTGGTATCTTAGCACCCAGAGAGGTCTTAGAACCTGAGACCGGCAACGCTGGAGTAGTCGTTGGCGTAATCGGGGAGGGCGCGACAATATTCACACCAGGAACGGGGGCCGTTGCTCCTTTAGGTGTCTCAGACTCGTTTTCAGACGGTTGTGGAGGGAGAGAAGGTGTGGAAGGAGGAGACAGTTGGACTTCAATCGGTATTGCTGTCTCGTCGTCACGCTCATCCTCTTCGTCTTCCTCTTCGTCTTCATCCGAGCTGAGACCGTCATCTTCGTACGCAGGGATCGCGTCGGTAGTGCGGACAGTTCCAATACCTTCCGTCTATAATTCAAAAGAAATGAATTAGCATTTATTCTTAGACATTCACTGCGTGTCAAATAGTTTATTTCAATCCTGGAAACGTACCGGCGGAGCAGAGACCAAGCTCATGCGTGCATTTCGCGTACGACGTAAGAGCTCTTCATAGACTTCGTCGAAGCTCAATGTGTGATTTACGTTCTCCGGCCGTGCGAAGCCGAGCTTCACTTGAATTGAACCGGAGGCACTTGTGCGCGCTCGCGTGGACGTGATGTTGACTGTGATGGGCTGTGGCGATTCAGTAAAAAATCCTCCCAAACTCAGAGAAGAATCAATCGCTCACTTCAGTGGTTGGATCATCAAAATCCTTCGGAGATCCTTCTTTGAACCAATCTTCGAGCAGAAGAGAAGCCTCCCCGAGATAATCCTTCTTGAGCATGTCTTTATCCCAAACAATCAGTTCAAGCACGCCAAGCCTGCCAACGAGGGACAGATAGATTGGGAAGTCGAATGTCGCATCTTTCGCCACATAAACCGGGTTGAGTGTCTTCTTGATCACTGGCGTAGAATTCTTGTTCCGCGCGAGTGAGACGACAACGAACCTGACGCGCAACAATGACCCGTCAGCAAGGCAATCTTCTCAACACGTCAGTGGCCCTGAAAGGCAAACATACGGGTCGCTGGTCCCATTCTTGTCCTTCGCGAGCAGATTGTTGCAGCGAATAACCTGTACACGCAGAAGGACGATGGGCAGCTCGCCAGGCATGGGATTCATGTTGTTCCTGCCACCTCCCTGACCACCCGAGATGCGGACGCGCTTTGGAAGGCGAGCGGCACCCTTGAGGGCCTTCTTTATCTTGAAGACCTGCTTTTCTCTGGGCATTGTGGGCGTCGAGGAGAAAAGCTGAGGACTGGCGGCGGACGTGATTGCTCTAGCTCGACGGGACAACGACTAGCGGTTATTTAATTATGACGCCGCCCATCAATGCACTTCTATCCGAGGAAATTAACCACCATATTTGGCAATCCTCCGCAGTTTGGCTTAGTCCTGTGCGATGACGCTATTCACCTTGTCGACTATCAAAATCATCACGAGCGCAAAGGTCTTACTTCGTTTTGCCTGACCAGAGCGCCCACACTCAGTGTCGAACTCTCTTTTAACTTTGACAGCTCTAGTCTCCTAGCAGCAGAATGAACGCACTAAATAACATGAATCGTCACAGCTAAGAGAGATGAAGAAGTGGTTTATTGGGTAATATTGAAGTCTTCGACACGGAAATCTGCTAGCTCCTATGCATCTACGATGTGCCAGCTTCGAAATACCCATATGTTACAATCATTTCGCACTCGGCCACAGTCGGCAGTGAGCATCACGGAGGACTTAATGAAGCGAGCCAAGACTTATTATCCATAGCATCGCACACATGGCCGCTCTCGTGTTTTTCAGGGCAACGGGCAATGCTCGCGTGATTCGTTAACTGGAAGCCTCGTTACAACGGGCAACGATTGAAAGATCCGACTTATAAAATGCACTGGATGATGCAATTTACCATAGCAAATCTGATAGGACCTATTAGTGTTTGGGGATTTCAAAAATCCGATACTATTTAGTATAGAGGAGAACCTTTCATCTTTCTTCGTAGTTTTCCGAGTTTCTCATACATACCTACGCAGTTCTCCAACAGGATTTATGAATATGAAGCAATTAAGGCAGCGTCGATCACTCTATCTAGCCGAGCGCCGATCAAATATTCCCACGATTTTTGTATTTCTTCCTTTATTGACTCCGTTAATTCTAGTGTACCCGAGGTAACTCAGGTGATACCCACATGTGGTTATCCACATGTGGTTAACCACGTGGATAACCACATAACCAACGGCCTTGTGCGAAAAGGCCGTGTGGGTAATGTTGGTAACTGTATATTAGATAATACATGAATATAGTAATTTGTCCCTGTAAACGACCCTTGCAATGGAGAAAAAAAATTCGCCGAGTAGTTTTGGTTTGAATACCGCATACAAGCATGTCTGTCGAAATTCTGAGCTTTGCTGAACTTGAAGAAAAGCTTCGGAATCTAAAAAATGCTCTTGGTATAAATGTACCTTAGACAAGCATTTGGCTCTTACTTGACCAACAAACATAGATTTTTTGACTTATATATTCTGTTATTTTGTTTTATTCACGCTTCGACCTGTAAATAGTGCACATATGCGCTATATTACCCTTAAAGTACATTGCTGAACTAATACATGATCGTCGCATACTAAAAACAGATACCCACATTACCCACATGTGGTTAACCAAGGCCAACAGGCCTTGGAAAATCGGCATGTGGTTATCTACGTTTCCCACATGCCCAAATGGGATTCCTCGGGTACACTAGTTAATTCGAAGTTGCTTTGAACCATGTCAATCGCTCAGTTCTCTACAGACCAGCAGCAACTACAAGCAACCCCTGTCCAAGACGACGCTGAAAAGGAGGATATAGAGACTAGCGAAGATAGCGATGACGACGATGAAGACGATGACGACGAAGAGAGCGAGGACGAGGAAGTCATAGCTCGCAAGCTCAATGAGCAACTTCTGGAGGACATCCGTCGCGCACGCGCCGACGCTGCGCCAACCGCAGCAAGCACAGCCAAGAGGTTTCCTAAGGAAGAAGCGGCACTTGCGACGATGAAAACTGTCCTTTCGTTTGCTGCTTCTGATCCCGTAGTTCACGAGACCTTTTCAACCACCGAGGTTCCTGGCCATCCGGGTACGAACTTGCTAGAAATGCTCAACAAGATTGTAGAGGAAGGACGCATAGCACTACAGTTTGCAGGTCCACTGAGTCATGCCCTAGTCAAGCTCGCTAAATCCGAGGTGTTATTTTCTCCGCTGCCCAGTCTACCTAGTCAGACGCTAAAACGGAAGCGCGACGGAACAGAGGAACAAACAGAACCTCCCGCAAAGCGAACGATGACGGAGGATCCAATTCTACTAACTCAACTATCTGAGGCAGTAGATGCCGTTACTAAGGCATGTACCGCATCAAACAGTGCTGTTTTGGAGTTATCCTCTCTTAATGCATCTCTTTATCGGATCTTTCTGTTCTCATTCACCTCGAGCTTGTCTGACAAAAAGTCCAACATAGCGCGGGACGTGTGTGGACTTATCCAGACTCTTGGTGTTCTTAATGATTCGCCGATCACAAATAACGATATGATTAAATCTAGCCTCGATACTACCGCTTACCCCTGCGTTTTCCCTGATTGCCGCAAAGTATTCGTGTCGCTTTCAAATCTTCGAGTGCACCGTAACGTTCATGCAGACCAGCGTCCTCTTACATGCTCTCGGTGTCCTGCAACTTATGCAGATGCCGACGTCTTCAAATGGCATGCAGCAAAACACAATATACGTGTACTGCGTTGTTCAGGCTGTAAAACAAATTTTATCCGCTCTGCGACCTTACGAAATCATCAGCACGAACCAAGCCCTTGTCTTAATACAAGTGTCGCAGAGTTGGACATAACGGATATCGATAGCGGTGCTTTGGGCGCGAAGGAACGGGATTGGTGTCGTGTACGTGCCTGGAACGCAGAGATAGGTGCTCCGGTTGATGAGGATGGACTTGAAGAGGGAGAATTCCCGTCTACTATAGTCACGAAAGCGATGAACTCTTTAGCGCCATTGCATGGCTTGCTAAGGAAACAGGTCGAATGCCGTCTCCTATCTCGAACGTCCACAGCGGACCAAACTGAAGGCGTATTGCCTCTGGGAGATGTGATTGCACGTGCAGTTGAAGCTGCCTCCGAAAATGCGCGCAAAGTTCTGTCTGGTGGAGAGGTGACGGCATCGTCTTCGGCATCAACTACTTTGCACAATATCCCGACTTCTTCAAACGCGGCAGATGACCCGTCTCATCTTCTCGCCACGATGTCGCTCAACAAGGATTATACTGCAGCTGTTGAGAAAGCCATCGTAGATGCTTCCGCTGCTGCGCTGGCTCATGCGGAAGCTGAGATGATGGTGCTATTTGAAGAATTGTCTAATGAACCAGCCACTGAAGGAGCGACTACTGCAAAGGAGGGTGGGAAATGATAATACGCAGCATGATGGAGCGTACTAATCGATGTCGCTGAGGAGTGAAATGGGTAAGAGCTTTTTTTCTCCTGTTCCCGACGTCTTTAATAAGGTTATCTTTTAGCTACTGCTTGACTTCCACTCTTGTTCTCCACATCGAAATCCGACGGAATATCGAGTGATATGGACTGCTGTACCTGCCTCGGCTACTTCAGTTTGCCTGCAAAGTCAGCTGAAACATTGCTAGAGAGGTACCCTCTCTGTTCGTATTTAGCCGTTACAACACTGGTGCCGCCTCTTTCCTTGCGTATCCGCGAAAGGGATGACTTAGATGGTCGTTCCGACACCTGGCCCGCGTTCGAATAGCGCGTTGCCTCCTATCCCTGACGAACTATGGGCAAACATATTCGTCTATGCTCTACCTCGTACACCTAGCTTTTGCTTGCACGAATCTCCAACATCAGTCTCACACGTTTGCCGATCATGGCGTCAAGTTGCTATCTCCTACCCACTGTTGTGGTCCAAAATATCACTGGCATCATCACATGATAATGTGTCGCACGGAACTGTGGAGCTTTTTAAGCTATGGCTGGACAGATCACAAAACTGCGCATTAGATGTCGACCTTCGGCTTCCGTTCGACGTTCTACCTTGGTCGATTGCTACGAATGACGAAGAGTTTAGGATAATTAACGAGATACTTTCCCTTCTCTACAAGCACGCCCCTCGCCTTCGATCTCTACTTCGTGGTTTCCCTCAAATCCTAAACAAAGTACTATTCGCCGATAACCTTCCGTTACTCGAACTTTTCATTGTGGATCCACCAGAAGGAGAACTTTGCACCTTCCCTATCGTCAGTCTCCCATCTAACCTGAAATGCTTTGCAACATTCAATACCTACATCCACTTCACTCCGGCGACCCGATGGCCACGACTGGAGCACCTCGAACTTTGGCAAACAGACTCTGGATTTGCAGGTCTCAGTGCAGGAGATTGTCTGGATATTCTCTCTAATTTGCCTTCTCTCCGTTCCGCTAGCTTCCACATCTCGGTTGATGACGACGAGAGTAGAACCGAATTCCCATCACAAGTGACACTACCTGCGCTACGTTGCATGGTAATTTCCTCCTTCGTCGAGCACGATATTGGGGTCTTACTCCCAAGACTTTCTACGCCTATCCTCGAAGCCATAGCTTTAGACGGCTGTTCCAGACGCGTACTCGCCGACAGCCTTCCGCGATTCTTGTCACAGTGTGCTCGAACGTTCAAGTTTATCGCGCTAGGTCAAATCGGTATTATCGACGTTACTCTACTTGGTGCACTCGCCGATTGCCCCGCGCGTTCTCGCATCGCCATCTGCAGCTCTTCGTTTGACGGACACGTTGCTGCCAGAGTCGGCCGTGCACGTCGTACCGAGCTAGGTATCGAATACGCAGATAGATGGACAAGCAAAGGTTCACCCGAGTTTCTACTCTGTCTCGCGTACACTTCAGAGGAAATGTGGTGTCAAATGCAAGGTCGAGAAGCGACGTTTTCATTCCCTGAATGGACTTATCATAATTTCGATAAATGGCGACCTGCTGCTATTTCTCCAGATGAAGCGACTAGTGTAGTCGAAGGAGTTAACAGTGTGAAATTCTCTATATGTGGAGGACAATCGGCTTCGCATTCTTGTTCACACGACAGTTGGCTTTCGTAGTTACATGTGAACTTGCATGCGTTGTACAAAAAATACTACGGTATTCATGACATACTATGTTTCTGATTCTCTTTCATAAGTTGCTGTGAGCCAGTCGAAGTCGGCACCTAAATCTGCTTGTAATACCGTTCTCTCATAGAGTCCACCGTATCCCCTCTTTTTCATTTTACGTATCTTTGCATTACGCTCATCCCACTTCCGTTTCCTTTCTTCCAGTTCCTCATCACTGACCTCCATCCATATCTTCCTTTCTTCAACATCTATGCCAACGATATCTCCATCATGTACAAGGGCAAGAGGACCACCAACAGCCGCCTCAGGCGTAACATGTAACACTACCGTTCCTTGTGCAGTTCCGCTCATTCTCGCATCACTCACGCGTAGCATATCTTTCACTCCTTGTGCCGCAAGCTTCTTCGGAATCGGTATAAGTCCTGCCTCAGGCATACCAGGATGTCCTACTGGACCCGTTCCTTGCATCACAAGCAGCGTTTCGGGAGTAACTGGCAGGTCAGGCGAGTCAATACGCGCAGCGAGGTCCGCTGCAGAGCGAAAGATGAGTACAGGTCCACGATGTTTGAGAAGGTTCGACGATGCAGCTGAGGCCTTGAGTACACATCCACTTGGCGCCAGGTTCCCGCGTAGAACCACAAGCGCTGCACATGGGTATATAGGATCGGAGAGTGGACGAATGATACTTTGCTGGAATAATCCATGGCGCTGTGCAGCAGGGTGTCCAGCAAGCGCTGCTCCTAGTGTAAGTGCCTCAACCGTGCGTGCGTCGAGATGAAGGAGGTTTCCTTTCGCCAGGACAGAAAGAAGCGCAGGTACACCACCCGCACGATGGAAATCTTCCATATACCCATCGCCGCTTGGCTTCAAATCTACAAGCAGCGGAGTCCGCTTCCCAATTTCATCTATAACGTCCAAAGTAATTCCATTCAGTTCTGTCGGTCCTAGACCTGGAATGCGCCCCGCTATTGCAAGGAGGTGAACTATGGCGTTTGTCGAGCCTCCGATTGCGTGTAGGACTGTAATTGCATTCTCAAATGACTCTCGCGAGAGGATGTCTTGGGGACGCAAAGGTGCCTCGGATGCGAGAGAATTGCGTACAATCAGTGAACCTACCTGTGCTGCTATGCGTAATCGAGCAGAAGAAGGTGCAGTGGCCGTTGCGGAACCAAGTGGTGCCATTCCGAGGGCTTCGAGGAGACAAGCCATTGTAGACGCCGTTCCTTCGCATTTCCACGTCAGAGACATGTAGTAAACCGCGGAAACGAAGCGAAAAATGTGTCTTACCCATGACACCACAAGTCTATCGCACACCCAAAAGTATTATTAAACTTCATAAATCAAGATAGAAGGTTACTCACTCCGACGGAAGGAACAAGTTCGTCGTTCACCCTCGTAATATCTTCAATGTCAATAATGCCAGCACGGTAGTCTTTCCAGTAGCTTCTGCAGTCTGTACAAGCACCGACACGTCTCCCTTCGTAGGAACCCGTAAGCATAGGCCCCGTAACGAGCGAGATGCACGGAATGTTTGCGGAGATCGCACCCATGAGTTGCGCAGGAACAGTCTTTTAATTAATTAACGTCAGGAACTCGACGGACACGGAGGAGGATATTAATTGCGTACTTTGTCGCAACCTCCGATCTGCACGTAAAATGCTCTCCAGTCAGTAAAATTGGATCAAACGAATGCACTAGAACGGCGATTCACCAGTACAACTCCGTCCATCGGCTGAGCCTTGATCATCTCCTCCGTATCGACCGACATCAAATTTCGCAAGTACATACTCGTCGGACTCGCAAAACTCTCATGTAGGCTTATCGTCGGGAACTTCACAGGCAGTGCACCTGCCAATAATACACTACGTTCCACGGCCTGAAGAAGAGCGGGGACATTGCCATGGCAAGGATTGAACCCTGAAGACGTGTCGATGAGGCCGATAATAGGACGCTCAAGCGCATCGTCAGTGTAACCCGCTCCTTTGATAAAAGCTTTCCGCAGAAATAGTGAGAACTCGTCATCGCCACTAGAAATATAAATTAGAGTACAAGCTTGGGTAATGTTACAGTGAGATGGAAGGCCCACTATGAAGTCAATTTAGACCGTAGTCCAGTCTTTACGCTTTCGTCATATTGTCTAGCCATTACAAAATTACAAAATATGGACGACTAGTCGATAACAAAGCGACAGCGCCGGATTCATGGAGAAATGCCAGGCCCAATTGGATTTTCCCGCATAGATCGTATCATCGTTTGTAGTTCACATGACAAGAGGCTAGGCAGCGGTCCGGACGAACTTCGAAGAAAATCGATGCTTTGAGATGCCTTAGAGTTTATTCGATTCCCTTAAATGATTAGTGGAATGAGAGCTCGTTGTTAATATACATTTGGGCGACCGAAAAGTAAAGTTAGCATTTCATCCAGGTTCTGTCGTAGCGACGTGGAGGTGTAGCCACGTCGCACGAAGTAGTCGAAGTTCGATGCGCGAGAAAAGGAGCCCCAAAAGGGGTAACTCGTAGTAAGCTGCATTGAACTTTTGGCCTCACAACAAACAATAATAATGACTACTCTACATACAAAGCCTTCCAACTATCAAAACGACATGTAACCTCGTAGTACTTGTAGTATCTTTCATCCATCATACCTGTTAACTGCTGAAACATGTCTTTCAAGGCATTAGATCAATAACTTATTTCCACATGATTATTAGTGCTCCGTGTGTAGCGTATACGCTTACGCGCGTAAAATTTCCCACGTATACGCATACGTGCATATAATTACGGGCGTAAACTGGGTCAGCAGGACCCATATACGATACACTACTTCCGTATACAGCATATACAGCATATACACTGTGCCAAATATAACAAGATACTTTACATTAAAATAGCTCATAAAAGTACACTATCATCTTTCAAAACAAATGCTTGATATTACTGAGCTAAGAAAATGTATTGTAGTACTGTTTACACACAGAAATAAGACAGTTGAGTGTTGTGAGTTAATATCACGTAACAGCTCTAAACCTTTATATGATGTACCATAGTAACCATACTAACCATAGTACTCATACTAGTACTTTTTAAGTTAAACAAGGTTGTTATATAGTATTAAAATGATTTGGTATATAAATAAGTAAAGTAAATGAGGTTTAGAAACTCAAACTTAGTATTTAATTAGAGAATATGCTTAGTAATACTGTATACTCGTATATAGCGTATACGGAAATTTTTTACTTATGGTATATGCATACGTGCATAAATATATGCATGTATTTTCAGCTAAAAATTTCTCTTACAATACAGTGCATAAGTGTATATGCTGCAGGCATATTTGTAAATTACGCTATGGTGCAGAGCACTAATGATTATCCTGAGTTTCAGAGTTCTGGTTATATAGAGTGTCAAATATGCATAATGTTTCATTAGTATCAATCCCAGTATCTTGGATATAGGAGCTGACTTGCTACTTCATCACGAAAAAGTCGCAACAAATGTATTTAATAATAGCAAAAGTAATCTAATAAAATGATTTCATAAGCATTACATTCTAAAATAATACTTATATTTTACTTGTAATGTAATTATAATGATTGTATATAAATGTAAGAAATATACAAAGTTTCTATTAAACTACAAACATGCTTTAGAGCAAGTAAGCTTACTAATAGTATTATTACAACATTACATGTGAGATACAAGCACTTAACTCTTATTATAATCTGCTAAAATTATATTATAAGTTATTTGTAACAATAGTTGATTGATTATAATAGTCATAAAAGTAATACATTGTACTTGTAAGTTAATTACAATACTTCTAGTAAGATAATATGCAATTATATATATTAATATTGATAACAATCACTCTGTCAGACTTATAAAATAATTTGGTTTTACTTTTAAACAATATATCGAAGTGATTACATAATCGAGTACCGAAGATCGAGCGCATATAATGACGCACTTGCTCTCGTCACTCCTTTTCTCTACTCCACCATCTCCC